AATCAAGTGAACACGATAGGGTACAACCTTACTCCGTGTGGGCTATTATGGCAAAAATACCAGAGAATGGGTGACTTATACAATAAACACTGATTTCTCACAGTTCTGGAGGTTGGGAAGTCCAAGATCGAGGTGCCTGCAGGTGGTGTCTGGGGAGGGCCTGCTTCCTTGTGCTTCTTGGCCACTTTTCACTGTGTCCTTACACGGTGGAAGGACTGAGGGAGTTCCTTGGGGTCTCTTTCATAAGGGTGCTGATTCCACTTATAACTACTGCCCAAAGGCCCCCAGTTCCCCATAGTATCAGGTCGGGGATTAGGCTTCAAAACTTTAGAGGGACACGAACATTCAATCTATAGCAGATCCTAACCCAATATAACTGATGTCCTTACAAACGGGGGAAATTTGGACACAGAGACCCATGCAGGGGGAGGAGGATGGGAGGAAGAGCAGGGAGAAGGCAACCATCTCCAACACCAGGAGACAGGCTTGGAACAGATCCTCCCTTTATAGACCTCACAAGGAACCAACGTCTGCCACTGGAGAACAGAGCGGCAGACTGGACACAACGCTTCATGGTTTTTGGTTCCTTTGAAACTAATAAGACAAAAGGCATAATTTGCTCGCTGCTTCATAGATGTCCTACTAACCCATCAGCTGAGCATGGGCTGTAGTGCACTTCCAGGCCTTCCCAGTCCAAAGGGAACTCGAAGGACATCCTAGGTCAAGGTCCAGGCAAGGCTTTCTTTCCCATTGTGATGCCTAATTTTAGGTCAACTTGACTGAGCCATGGCGTGTCTCGATACTTGGTCAAACACTATTCTGGGTGTTTCTCTGAGGGTGTTTTGGATGAGACTAATGTTTAAATAAGTAAACCAAGTAAAGCAAATAGTCTTCTGTAATGTGAGTGGGCCTCACTCAATCAAACGAAAGACCGACCCTCCCCCAACCCCATGCTCTCAATCCCCTCTTCCCCTCAATGAGCACGAATTCTCCTGCCTGATAGCTGAACTGGGACACAGGCTCTACAGCAGCTTCAGGCCTTCAGAGTCAAACTGGGACACTGGCCCTGCAGATTCTGGACTTGCCGGCTGACATAATCATGTGGGCAAATTCCTCAAATCTGTATCTATCCTATTGGTTTTGTTTCTCTTGAACAAATACCTAATACACCCATCCCCACCTTATGTAGCTAGCCCGTCATTCTCATCTCATAAGCTGACTCAACAAGTTAACTTTTGTAAAATTAACTCTGTGAATTTTGTGAAAATTTTCTCCATGCCCAAATCCTTTCAGACATGACCTGGGTTTAAAAAATAAAATATAAATAAATATCAAAGGAAAGAGAAATTAATAAGAAAATTTCTGCTTTGAATGCACTTGTTTTGAAAAGGGAACACTGAGAGCCCATTGGAAATTTCAGCAGTTTCTTTACACAAGCGACAACCAGCTGACCCAGATATGTCTTTTGTAAATAATGAACTTCTCAGGATCAATACTGGTTCTGAAAAGTGAAAATTAAAAAACCCTTTGAAAATACAAAGACATTGGGGTGCCTGGCTGGCTCAGGAGGAAAAGCATGCAACGTTTGATCTTGGGGTCCTGAGTTTGAGCCCCACACTGGGTATAGAGATTACTAAGAAATAATAAATTTTATGGGGCACCTGTCTGGCTCAGTTGGGGGAGCATAGGACTCCTGATCTTAGGGTCGTGAGTTTGAGCCCCATGTTGGGTGTAGAGATTACTTAAATAAAATGAGAGAGAGAAAGTGAGAAAGAAAGAAGCTTTAAAATTTTTTTTTAAAAATAAAATACAAATACAATGAGAAGAAAAATTACATATAATGGTTTAACTACAAGGTGTATGTTCATCGTGGACTGCATTTACTATGTGTTTTTTCATTTCCTTGGTCCTTTACAATCATCTGTTTACTACCTTTTATCTTAAAGCTGCTTTATCATCATTAAAACTAGTACGTATCTCATGTTATTATTAAAATGTTACCTTAAAGACAAAAACACTAGGGTACCTGGTTGGCTCAGTTGGTAGAAGATGTGACTCTTGATCTCCAGGTTGTGAGTTCAGTCAAGCCCCATGTTGGGCATAGAGCCTATTTAGAAAAATTTAAAAATTAAAAAATAAAAACCCAAATTCTGATAAACTGCTTGAATCTGAATTTCTTTTCTGCCCTCATTTTTTTTCAACTTTGTGCCCATTTCAGGTAACCTAAAACATAAATACAACTATTTGTGTAATCCAGAGTAGAGGAATTAAATCACTCTCCAAATGATCCTATATGAGCTTTTAAAAAAGAATGTAATAACTTGTTATGTGTTTCCCCGAGGGCAGCTTTCAGAAAAATAGGGATTATCATGTAATAGCAATTTCTGAACTCTGGCTGAAAACCGTGGCAATTTAGTTAAGCCTTAATAAATGATAGATTTTAAAAAGGTACATACATCTCGGTTGGACTTATTGCCTTTCAGTAACGTTTTAATTTTTCGTTTCTCTTTATACCATGTTAGATGACTTGGTTTTGTTTTTTCTAGTACAGTACATTATTGTTCTTCTTTCCCTCATTCTCTTCCCACAATCTGATTATAAATGTTCTTAGGCAAGATACGAACAAACAGCTCTATAATGCATAGCAACGGAGTCCATGCTCGGCTAGAAGTGGCTCATAGAAAGATTACAGAAAAATATCCACGATTTTTTTTTAACTTGTGCAGCATAACATTGCCATCAACTGAGGGATTATACATGACCCAATGTTACTGCATAATCTTAATTCGTTCAACACCCTTGGTTTCCTGAGTGCAGATAAGACTACAGGATATTTGGATGTCTAGAGCCAAATTCTGATAAGACGACAACCACTTGTCCTTTTTTCCCAGATCCCTACAAAACTGTTTTCCCTATAAATTTGTTCTTCAAAAACAGTATGAAAGCATACATGGTAGAGACATTCCCAGTAGTTCCAGGGTTTGAGGATCTTCTGCTTCTGGATAGAGGAATATTTTCAGAACCTCCCTCTTTCCTTTTGTGGATTTTGAGTTAGAAGATCTAAAGTCTCAGTCTGTCAATGGCTAGTGGTCTGAGATCTTGAGCTTGTAATTTAGCCTCTCAGTCTTGTCAAGAAGCGAGTAGAAAACATCTACCTACAGGGCTACTAAGGAAATTCCGTGGGATAACGTACAGTGTGGTATTTTAGCACAGTCACGTCTCACTGAAATACAATGTGAGCTACAAACGTGAGCCACATCTATCATTAATTTTTTTTCAGGTAGCCGTATTTTAAAAAGTAAAAGGAAACCAGTGAAATGAATTTTAACAACACTTGCATTTAACTCAGTATATCCAAAGTATCATTTCAACATGTGATCAATACAATCATGGAAATGGTTTACATTCTTCTTTTCTCACTAAATCTTTGAAATCCAGTGTGTATGTTACATTACTGCATATTTCAATGAACACTAACCCCATCTCAAGTACTCAGTAGTCACTGTCACTAGTGGCCACCGAACTGGGAGAGTGCAGGTACAGATCTGAGTCACAGTAAGTAGTTGATCATCTAGCGGGCAAAGCAAAAAGGATCTAACCTGAGCTGGTAAAACAGGTGTTTCAGACTCTGTGAGCCTCATGATTTTTCCTAAAGCAGGCATCATCTCCTTTGGTATGTTGAATTGGAAGAAAAAAGTCAAACAATACTGAAATATATAAAGTAAAATCTTCCCCACGCCGTTCCAAAACTAAGCAATACTATTAGCAACTATAGGTAACATTTGGGTAAGTGGGGTTTGTGATACTTCTGGAAAATCACCAATTCCCCTATTGCTCCTTAGTTTTTAACTCCGTGACCTCATGATTCTACCTTGTTGGTTTGCTCACCATTTTCACATGGAAGAGATTTGTCTTTTCCAGCTTTTTAGTTCTGTTAAGAAACAACGTTATGAACTTTGCCTTATACCCTACCTAGTACAGGCTACCTGAATAGGACTTTTATATACTTACCCATTTTGGATCTTTTCAATGATCCCTTTGTACCCCGGGGGTTAATGAAGAAACTGGAGGTCGGAGGGCCTATTTTGACAGTCTGGTGTCTCAAGACCAAAGGACACTGTGCTTGTACTTGGCACGGGTCATCAGAATTCCCACCTTGGAAATCCGGTCTACTGATAGTTTTCCAGTCATCGGGTTGTTTCTTTTATGAATTTAGATTTTACGTGTTTCGCCCAAACAAAGCCAGGACCACGGGACTGTGCTCTGCACATTGTGAGGTCGTGGGGAGAGAAACCGGTGAGAGACAGCAGGTAAGCAGGTGGGCGCACACGGGAGACAGCTCGGGAAGTTAAGGGATGGGAAGACAGGTTCGCGTTAAGGTCCGTGTACACAAAGGACCAGACTCCGGTGACTCCAAACGTCCTGTCCGCAGCGGAGCTGAGGATTTTGTAGAGTCAAGAGAAAGCAAAGCTAGGGGTGTTCGCAGGGGACCCCGCTCCTTAAAACTGCGGTGAGTGCTGTGTTCCCGGCGCCAGCCCAGTCCTGGGCGCTTGCCCGGCGCTCGGGGCGCGGCTGCGGGTCGGACCGAGGGCCAGGGCAGGCCCGCGGGGCTCCCCCCGAACCGCAGCGCACTCGGGACCCAGGACAGTCGGGGGTCCGCCCAACCACCGCTCTGCCACAGGTACGTCGGGGGCTTTTTACACAACAATTGGTTCTCCCCGACTTGGCGCCTCCTGGGAGAGCTTGCCCCGCCCTCTGCCCTCGCAAAGGGCGAGGACCGAAGAAAGCACCGCACTGAGGAAAGAATTCCGACGAAAGACCAGAAGCCACCGACCTCCCCGCAGGCAGTCGCGCCCGGACGTCCCCGCCCAATTCCGCGCAGCACCCACCGCGCAGGCGCGGAAGGAGGCGGGGCCGAAGGGGCGGGGCGGGAGGCGATTGGCGGGATCCGTTGGGCGTCCCCTTGGTCACGTGGCCGTCGCGCCAGACGAGCGCAGTCCGCAAGCTTTTCCAGGAGCTGCGGACCGTGAGCGAGGTTCTCCCGCTGCAACGACCTGCGTCGGCTGCGAGGATTGAGCGCTCCCGTCCGATAAACGTGAGGGAGGTGGGTCCGCGGGGGCCGCTCTCGGGACGGCTGCCGGGCCGCTGCCGGGGTTGGGGTGGACGTTGCGGGGGGCGCGGGCGAGGCAGGGCCCCGCGGCCGAGGGGTTGCCCCATTGGCTGGGTCGGTTTTGGCGCGCTCTCCCGTCCGCGCTCCCGATTGGCTGGCGGGCGCGTCCCGGACTCGTGCGCGGTGGCGGGAGCCGGCGGACCACGGGCGGACCCCAGGCCTGGGGAGGGCTCTCTGGCCGGCGGCCTCGGGGGGCTGGCTGTGCCCGGCTGTCCCGGTGAGGGGGAACCTCCACCCTCCGGGCCTCCAGCTGGCCGGGGTCCGAGGGTTCCGTAGCCTGGGCCCCGGGGGGAAGGTCGCTGGGTCCTGTGTCGCCCGTTGAAAACGACCCGGGGCTGGTGACCCTGGTGTCTCCCGTTCGTCTGCGTTCCCTGGGGACCCGGCCCTGTGCAGAGAGGGGAGGTGACAGGGCTGCCGACCGGAGTATGATAAACCTACGAAAGACTACCCTTGGTCGGGGCTGGCACCGGTTTGGGCCGTGACACTTACGGAACTCGCTGTACATCGCAGTTCGGGACGCAGCCGGGCGAGGGGAGAAGTTTCACGAAGCAGTCCTGGCTCCTCGCATGCTATGCGCTCGGTGTTTTCTCACCTCTTCAGTTCCATTTTTCTAAATACTGTTCGTGACCCAAGTAAACGATTTGGGGATCCCGGCCTGCGACCTGCAGTTTGAGAAGACATTGCTCAGTTCAGTGGGTTCCCGCCAGCATTTGCTTAACATGAGATAGAAGGGAAAATAGGGTGCATTAGACAGTTAGGGTTTTTTTGGTTAACTAAAGCTTTCTTTCTTGGCTGTGCGTGTGCTAAGGTACCGTATAAATGGATGAACAGGAGGTGAGTCATAGTCCCGAGTTTGGAAGTCGCTGCACCCAGTAAAGGTGTTATCTACAGCCCTGAGGGAGGTGGGTTTGGCAGGCGCAGACCTGTCCGGGAGGTTCCGAGTTTGGGTTTGCAGCGAGTCTGGCCCTGTGGTCTGGTTAACCACAATGCATAATTCCTTTATCTTCTGTCCTCTCTGCCTTGCTTCCCACCCTCAGTTCACAGTGATGGTTAAACATTCCCTACCAATGTGAATACATAATCTCATTAGATCGGATATTAAATCACTACTAACGTATTGCTGGTTATCAGAGCCAATTTTATTATAGCTTAAAACTGCCTTTGAAATGGCAACGTTAGGGGCGCCTGGGTAGCTCAGTGGGTTAAAGCCTCTGCCTTCCGCTTAGGTCATGGTCCCAGGGTCCTGGGATAAAGACCTGTGTTGGGCTCTCTGCTCAGCAGGGAGCGTGCTTCCCCATCTCTTCGTCTCTGCCTGACTTTCTGCCCGCCTGTGAGCTCTGTCAAATAAATAAAATCTTAAAAAAAAAAAAAAAAAACACCAGCAAAGTTAGGATGCTATTCTTTAAAAAAAAAAAACTATTCATTTGCGAGAGTGTGCAAACAGGGGGAGCAGCAAGCGGGGGGCGGAGGGATGTAGACCCCCCGCTGAGCAGGAGCCCATCGTGGGGCTGGATCCTAGAACCCTGAGATCATACCTTAAGTCAAAGGCAGATGCTGAACCGGCTGAGCCCCACAGGCGCCCCTAGAATGTTATTCTTTAGGACAGACTTGAATATACTCACGTGCCTGGTGACCATTTCTCAGATTTTTTTGAACCCTCTGTTTAATCCAGGACCCCACAGTGTTTTGTAAATAACAATGTTTAGAATACCGACATTTCCTGTTGTGACAAGGTGTTTCCAACCAGAATTAGTGTGTGTGTGGGGGTGTGCGTGTTGAGTATGGATATTAAGAGTCACTGACTTTAGTCAGCTGTAGTCCTTCATAGGGCTGAGTGTGGGTACAGTGAGAGAAGATAGTAGTTCTACTGTACAGTAGTAATGATTGCTGTGATTGTAAATACTTTCAACATCAGAAGAATCTAAACTCCACCTTCAGGTACAAACCGCTTTCTGTTTATGATATAAATTACTAGTTTTTTGTACTTTACCAGGTGCATAATGAATCCAAGTATGAAGCAGAAACAAGAGGGAAGCAAAGAGAACATAAAGGTACGTGACAGAATCACCGTCATTTGTTAGAGCGTGTGGTTTAGAAGCATTTTGACGTAATTTAACTGAATTTAATCTGGCCGTCGTTTCTATAAACTTTGAAGTGCCGAACTTTTGGGCCGGAGGACAGGTAACAGTAGAAAACTTTAAAAAAATTAATTATGGTTGAACAGTGAGTTTTGTGATCCCATTACATGCGATCTCTTTCCATTTGTTTAGGTCTTTAATTTCAACAATGTTTTGGTAGTTTTCAGAGTATTGAGTTTTATACTCCTTTTGTTTAATTTTTTCTTAACTATTTTATTTTTAATGCTACTGTAGATAGAGTCGTTTCATGAATTAAATTTTCTGTGTGTTCATTGCTAGTATATGGAAAACAGTTGATTTTTGCATTTTGAGTTTGATCTTAAATCCTATATTGTGCTGAACTTGTTTATTAGATCTGGTAGTTTTTTTTAGAGATTCCTTAGGATTCTCTGTAAATAAGATTGTGGTTGCTTTCTTTCCACTCCTCCATTTTATAAAATGACTTTATTAAAATCCTCTGTATCTTGAGAATTGGTGTCTTTGTCCACAGAGATACATTCTACCTCATAATGCACATGTGACCAGACAACATCATACTTACTCCCATCAAACCCGCTTGTTTCCTGTGCTTCTTGAATCCCATTATGATACCATCACTGGAAATCTTTATTTGTATAATAATAACAGAGTTTAATTTTCAATTTGTAACTTTGACGGATTTGCTCTTAAAGTTCTAAGTGAGTTTACAACTTAATGAGGTTCTGCCACACAATTTAGAGGGTGAGGGAATGAGACCACATCTTCAGGAAAACTATCATTTTGCAGATTTAAATAGAGTAAATAAAAGTGATAAGTGATAGCAGATGCTTTCTGATAGATGGCTTACCTTGCCTTCGTGTCCTTACATTGTTTTTCTTAAATAACACTCTGCATTGATAATTTGAGTCCATCCCTTTCCATTTAGGATGATATTATCTTCCCACTGATCTTTGTGTGTGCGCTTAGACTTTTTGTTAGGAAAATTTTCAAAGATTCAAAAATAGTCAATAATATAATAATCTCAGCTTCCCAATTTTCAACAGTTAAAAAGTATATGGCTAATCTTGTTTCATCTCCATTGTCATTCATTTCTCCTTAAGTTGCCTAATTAATTTGAGACAGATCCCAGACAGTTTATATCATTTCAGCAGGTCCTTATATCTAAAGAAAAATCTGATGTTTACTTAGTACAGCTATCTTGGATATAAAAGGACTGGGTTCTGTGTGGTTCTTGATTTAACCTCCAAAACTGTGATTTTGGGTGAATTATTGAGCATCCCAGCCTAAGCTTATGTCTCTGTAAAAGAAGGAAATGGGACTAAAACCAGATCTGTAAGAGTGAATTATAGGAGTTTATGGATTTCCTACCAATTATGCAAAATTCCGTGTGAGTACTGCTCTTGTGTTAATCTTTTTTTTTTTTTTTTTTTTTTTGGAGATTGAGAGAGAGAGAGAGAGCTAGAGAAGGGTTCCTGGAATCCTCTATGGTTTTCTAAAAAGATTAAGACCCATTAATATCTAAGAACCTGAACGTCTTGGGGCACGTGGGTGGCTCAGTGGGTTAAAGCCTCTGCCTTTGGCTCAGGTCATGATCTCAGGGTCTTGGGATCGAGCCCTGCATCCGGCTCTCTGCTCAGAGGGGAGCCTGCTTCCTCCTCTCTCTCTGCCTGGCTCTCTCTCTGCCTACTTGTGATCTCGGTCTGTCCAATAAATAAATAAAATCTTTAAAAAAAAAAAAAAAAAAAAGAACCTGAACGTCTTGGCTCTAAGGAGTCTGTTTTTCCAGCGCATGATCTATATAAAGAAAATGATAATAGCCATATTCTCTCGTGGGGCCTGGGTGCTTCAAGCTTACACACATGAAAGTTAATCTTGAAATGGTCATTTCTGTGTGTGTGGCAGTGATTTATCTGGCTTCTGTGGCCATTATTTAGCAGCAAGCATTTAAATGAATTAACACCTATTCTTGAGGGTCCAGAGTTCGGTTTTTCTTCTGTTTGTCTGGAGGCTGTTGACTGGTCTATAATCTAAATTACATCTTTAATGTTGTTGTAATGTTTGTTCTCGGAGTAGTTGGCATTTGTTGCTCAGGTCAGCAGTGAGATCATAACCGGCAGCAGAAACCGTCCCGTGGGAAAGGTGAGCTCTCGTGCTGGGAAGTGCAGCTGGGAGCCGTAACTTTCTCACGCTGCTTCGGTGTCATGTTCTTGCTGCCCTTGTTTGAGTGTTCACCATTGTTTGCTGTCCGGTGGCGGCAGGATAACTAATGATTTTTTGCAAAAAGAGAGAGCGCTTTCAGATCAGGAAAGGAAGGCTGTGTTTTTTCCAGAACAGTAGTGTGGGCAAATTCACAGTGTTCTGGTGTGCCCCTGGCCCTGACTTTGTGGCTGTCTGGGTAGGAATAGGCTTCAAACGAAACAGCTTCTGCAGTCAGGTGAAGGTGGGGGGTGTGGTCCTCTTGGATGTGCATTTGCTTCTGCGTAAGGTGTGTTCTTGGAAATTGTATTGCTTTGGTGACTGCATATGCGTGTGTTAGGGGATAGTCACTATTTAAAGGAAGTCTGAGGTGCATCTTTTTGAGTAGGGAAAGAAATATTTTATGGTGTAAATAACCTTTTCCTCCAGTTTACCCCTTTTGTGGGTTTCTACCATATAGATGCACCATAGCACCAGATGTCTGGTACGTTTCTGTTTCTTTGTGGCAGATCCTTTTAAGAGGGAATGCAGATATTCCTGTTGGACTTTGGTTTCATCACATATGGTCTGAAGTAGTAGAGCTTAGAAATTTTGTTATATTTTTTAACTAGCTACGGTTAGTTGACAAGATGACTATAATACAGCATGTATTGATTGAAATGTAAGGAGAAAAGCTACTTGTGTCAGGTTTAGGTAATGTGACCCATTAGGATTTCCTTAACCTTTATTATAATATTAGGGAAATAATAAGTTTGCTAGTTAAAAAAGCCAATATATTGCTCATATATAATATTACATGGCAGCCCAAACCTTAGTATTCTTAGTGTTTCGTATTTCCTTAATTATAGTAGGAATAAGAGAGTAATAACCCATTTGGCAACTCAGTAACCAGATAATAAATTCTGTTCACTTGTAGAATAGTCCTGTGCCCAGAAGAACGCTGAAGACGATTCAGCCTTCTGCAGCTGGGTCCCTTGTTGGAAGAGAAAATGAGGTGTGTGTTTCTGGGCTAGAGTGGGCTACAGAGGACACTGACTTTACATTAAAGACCCTTCCAAGATTTCCTCGATCGGAGACACCTGAATCATTGAAACTTGGAAATAGTTCAAGAATAACCATTGTGTGTTCCTCACAGAAACGGTTTTTGATTTGGTGGTTCAGTTTAGGAAGTTGAGAATCGGTAGGAAGACCTGCAGCAGCACTGGGATGAGGTGCGGGGGTGCGGATGAGCCTACAGGAGCAATGTTTGATGTTTGGGGAATAAAATGGTAGATTCCTTCATTTACCCCGTCTGTAAAGGAGAAAATCACAGTCGAGGGTGTCTAGACTTTTGCAAGTTTGAAAATACCGCCTTTCTGTGGCACTCAGTTACTTAAACAATAAAAATAATTTTAGCTAAGCTTTAGACCTAAGGCCAATCTAAGATAGTTGCTACAAACAAAATTCCTAAAAAATAACTACAATTTTGGTAGAGTTTTCAATTTGTGTGATTTTTTTTTAAAAGATCCAAAAATGCCAGAGACATAGGACTGCTCTATTTTTGATACATACATGACAAAACCACCCAGCTGTCTCGTTCATTAGATCAAAATAAATGAGATTGATGTATGTATTTTCATTATAGTTGGATAAAGGCTTGTCCAAAAGGAAACACTGGAACGACCAGTTAACATCTAAGGCTACCAGCTCTGGAGTTGTTACTGTCCCAGAACACAGTGAGAATAAAAATTTTAGTGAAGTTACTCAAGAAGCATTTGATCTTATGATTGCAGGTATGAAAAAATATGCCACTTTTATCTTAAATTTCTTAGTTATAATCACTTAACAAATTGTTAACGTTAATTTAGTATTTAAACATTAAATAAAATAATCATTTATTATGCTGTTCTGAACTCTGCCCACAGCTTCTTAATCTGGAGACACTATTAAATACTTTACTCAAATGTTTGATAATTTAAAATTTCTTTAAGTATACTGTGAATTTGGACAGGCTTTACCTATCAGTAAGATCCAAATATGGATGAAATATTAAAGAAAAGGATTGTGATTAACACGACAGCTCTGGTGTTACCTCGCCTTAAGTGTCACAAGACTTGGAAATCGTCTTTTCCGAAGAAAATTATCTAGAGAGTGAATCTGGAGAAAGGAATTTGCGCGGAGCGGAAACTGAAGGGAGCCCGCGGAGACGCGGCTGAGCGAGGGGAGCCGCCGCGCGCACTAGGTCTAATCGGGATGGCAGTGGGACTCAACAGAGGAAGCTGGCGACGTTCTATAAGCATCGTGGGAATATTTTTTAGTAGAAAAATTACTGGGTTTTCCCAGCAGCATATAATAGTAATTATTTTCAAGGTTTACCTAAAAACGTTCATTTATTTTAGAAAACCCATCCTCTCAATATTGGAAAGAAGTGGCAGAAAAACGGAGGAAGGCTCTCTCTGAAGCACTGAAGGAAAATGAGCAAGTACGGACCGAGCGCCGTCTGCGGCGGTTGTTACCGGCCCGCGGTGCGGGTCCTGCTTCGCGAGTTTGGGGGAGGCGCGACGTAAACGGGCTTGGCTGTCGGCCCGGGGCGGTCTGACCGGAAGGGGGCTCCGTGGTTCGGAACTTGGTGTAGACGTGTCTCTCGGGCACTTGGAGGCGCATTAATCTGGTTTGTAGCTTAGCACACGTGTGGGACACTGAACTTCGTTCCTGTCGTCCAGCTTCATAAAGAAATTGAACGGAAGGACCGTGAAATCGCCCGCCTGAGGAGGGAGAACGCGGCGCTGGCCGAGGTAGCCGAGCACGTGCAGTACATGGCGGCGGCGATAGAGGTGGGCACTTCGCGCTCCGCGACTCGCGGGCCCGTTTCTCCTCACTCGGGGCGGCGCGGCAGTGTGGTCAGTCAGGGTGTGGGCTCTGCCGTCAGACTTCCTGCGTCTGAGGCTTAGCTCCCCGTCCAGCACCGAGACCGCTGCGAGGCAGGCAGAGTCTCTACGGTCTGCGCTTCGTCTTCCTCCTCATCTGTGAGACGGGAGGAGGGGTGCGCGCCTCGCGGGCTCGTGGGGAGACTCAGGAGGAAAGTGGAGAGAAGTCCCTGCCCATAAGAAGGGCCCAGTGACTGTTGGATAGCGTTATAATCGTGACGCGAAAGGACAGGGCTTTTCTTGCACAAATATGAAAAGGGATTTACTTACATATGGAAAATTTTTCTCGTTCACAGTTGACAAGTTTTTAGACAGGTTTTAATTTAACTTGAACGCCAGTGTGATAGTATTGTCACTTATAAAACGGTTAATTGGTGTACTGCATAAGGTTGGCGGTCCTGACCTTTTTTTTTTTTTTTTTAAGATTTTATTTATTTGACAGAGAGAGAGACCACAAGTAGGCGGAGCAGCAGAGAGAGGTGGGGGGTGGGGGGACCCCGAGCAGAGAGTCTGATGTGGGGCTCCATCCCAGGACCCTGGGGTCACGGCCTGAGCCGAAGGCAGAGGCTTAACCCACTGAGCCACCCAGGCGCCCCCCTACCTGACTTTTTAATTTGGAAGAAGCTAATGTATTTATAAGAATTAGCCTGCAAGGGTGGGGGGCTCTGTGGGTTGAGTGTCCCAACTCTTGGTTTCAGCTCACGTCATATCACCAGGGTCTTGAGAGCAAGCCCTGCGTTGGGCTCCAAACTTAGCAAGGAGTTGGCCAGAGTTTCTCTCTCCTTCTCCCTCTGCCCCTCCTCCTGCACACTCCATCCTTTCCCCTCTCTCTCCCCCTCTCTCATAAATAAATCTTTAAAGAAAAACAAAGAATTAGACTGATGACTGTTACTTTACAGTCTTGGACTGAACAATAGGTCTTAAACTTAACTCATGTTCGCAAAAAAACATCTTGCTGATAGGAAGAAAGTTTTCAAATGAAAGCTTTTCTAGTACTGAATTGTTTACGTTTTAAGCCACGACAGAATTCTGTCTCACGTTTTCATCTGGAAGTGCCGTGACAGCTCTCCGAACCGCCGTGTGAGTGTTGGTCCCCCGCAGACTGGAAGTCAGAAAGCCTGGCCCTTCGCTCTGGGTAGCTTGTGAGGCCCAGACTCGAGTGGTCTGCGAAGGCACGTCGTGCTTTGAAACGAGCACACCCTTAGAGCTGTGACTTTGCTGAAATGGGGTCCAGCGTGGGGGGACTTGAATAGAATGCTTGACTGTCAGTGAATTTAACGGAGAGCTGATAGGAGAAGCACCTCGTCAGGACAGTGAGGGCCAGTGCTGCCAGCACACTGCTAGCGGACTCGGCCTTTACGGTGTTTACAGTAAACTGTTGGTTTATTCTTTCAAAAGCGACTGCAGGAGGAGCCTCTGGATAACTTCAAATCACCAAGTAGTCAGGAGTGTGACTCGGAAGAGGAAACCGGTGAGGACTCGGCTGTTGAAGACCCAGACGTTGTTCCGTGGGCCGAAGAGGCGGTGTCTTCCTCTACAGATGCCAGGCCCGGTGTGTGACAGTCACGCGTGCCTGACTCCCGAGAGACGCTGCCGGAGTTTACCTCCACTAGCGTTCTTGGTAGCAGAGCAACGGCTATACTGCGGGGCGGCGGGGGGAGTCAGACCTCCTTGTTGGAATCCTGGGACCCCCGCTGTATTAAAATACAAATACTATGTATTTTTAATCTATGATGTTTTATGTAAATAGCATTTTCTCAGTGGTCAGACATGACTTGTGTGTATGATAAATAAACTTCAGTCCCTTGTTGAGCATTGTGCGTATCTGGGAGGAATGAAGTATAACCAGGCTATGGAAAGGGCGTCTTTTTCTTTCTTTTGCTCTGTTATCTTGGAGGAAACAGGAAGAAAAAAAATTTTTTTTAAGTAGGCTCTACACCCAATATGGGGCTCAAACTCACGACCCCAAGATCAAGAGTCGCTTGCTCTACCGACTGAGCCAGCCAGGTGCCCCCGAGTTTATCTCTCTTAAGACTGAGATGGTCGAGTTTTTACTCCCAAGTCTGGTTGTATGTCAGGCTCATTGTAGGGACTGTTGAGTTCCAGATGCTCTTACCGCGCACTTCTGATCATGGAGTGGGGGAATCTAGGATCTGAAGTCCCCGCGTGGATCCGAGTAGCCAGGAATAGGACCAGTTGGCTGGAAGAATCAGACTCTTCTTGGACGTTTACAGTGGTGGGGATTGTCCTCTAGAGAAGTGGGGGCAGGTGAACGTCCACTTGGATGCAGGGATGTGCTGTGGATGTGGACGGGAGGTGAAGCTTTCCACGTGTTTCACATACGGTAGAGCATAGAGCATGTATACTGAGGAAGAAGAAGCAAGAAGATGCACTAATTAGGGATTTCCCATATGTACTGTTTCTAATGAAGAAAAGGACCATGGAAATTGTTTACAAAGTACATCACATTGGGATGGAATATGTTCTGTGAGAAGCACACAAGTGTGTTATGTACAGATTGGCAGTAAAGAGCTTTGTCAAGCTTTAAAGGATTCCTTTGGGTAAGGTATTTATCCTGATAGAACTTGTATGTTTTTATCTCCTACTGAGTTAGTCTACCTCAATGTTATTTGAGGGTTAAAACATAACTACGGTGCCTGAACTAAATGCTTTAAAAATGAAAGCGATTATTAGTGTACAGCAACATTGTCCAAAAAACTCAGGTGTTAGAAATACCTTTGCTTCCGAGCGTGATGGCCAGTGAGCCACTCGTGGCTGTTGAGCACTCGAAATGTGGCTAGTGTGAACGAGGAACTGAGCTTCCATGTACGTTGAAGTAGAGGCTCGTGTCTGCTGTGTTAGTGCAGCTCTGTTTTAGGTGTGGGCCACTAGCCCAAGATCCAGTTAAGACGGTGTATTTAATGTTACGTGTTTTCTACTACAGTAAAAAATAATCCAAAGAATATTACGGGTTAAGGATAGAAGGCAGTCAGCTGAGAGGCTATTAGAATGATGAGAGCTTAGCAGAAGAGGGTTACTTGGCAAATAGTATTTCTAGAAAATGCCAAAGTTGGATTGCCAGGATTTGGTGGGGAGCAAAGAGGAAAGGGAAGTGAGGGCATAATTTAATGTAAAAGCTATCACTATTAATCTAGAAGAAAATAAAGGGAAAAGTTAAAGTGACTTTGGATTTGGCAAAGATTTCTCAAAAGACACAAAAAGTACAAATTATATAGTAAATTGGACTTGATAAAAATCAAAAACTTCTCTTTGAAAGACTAAAGAGAATGAAAAGACAAACCATAGACTGAGAGAAAATATTTGTGAAAGCTCCAACAAAAGCTTTGTATCTATAAAGAACTCTTAAACTCAGTAAGTAGACCGACTCACTTTTAAAATGGGGAAAATTTGGACACTTAACCTAAGGACGGAGACCGCGAACAAGCACGTGACCAGACATCCGCGTCCTCCGTCATTAGAGAAACGCCCATTGTTCTGTCGTGAGTGAGCGGCTGCTTTCCTCTCAGAATGACGTTTGCAGAACAAACATGGCTGTCCTGGGCGTCACACTGAGGAAGCAAGTGGATCTCCTGCAGTGCTGGTGGCCAGGTTAAACACTACACATGCTGTGAAGATGTTTGGTCATTTCTCACAAGCTAAACCTACATTCCGCAGCCTCCAGCCATTCCACTCCCAGGCATGTTTCCCTAACGGAAATGAAAGCCCACGTCCACACGAAGACTAGTCTGCACGTTGTCACTGTTTTATCTGTAGTAGCCAAAATGTCCACCAGAAAATGAAAGGATAAACACACTGTGGTCTGTCCACACAGCAGAATAAAAAAGTAACAGTTGGCAAAAACTACATGGGCAAATGTCAGTGATGCTGCGTGGAAGAAAGCAGGTAAGAGTCCCTGCTGTTTGCTGCCATTTAGACAAAACTAGAATCTTGACAGAAACCAAATCAGTTGCCTAAGGACCTTGTGGGGAGTGGTTTTGGAGTTGGATTTTTAAGTCTACAGTATCTGGGAACTGTGACCCTACTTGATGGAGAATTTGGAAGCATTTACTGATATGATGAGTCTGATTTTTAATTAGGTATCAAATGTCAGAACACCTCAATGAAATGCCTTGAAGACAAGGTCATAGGTCAATCACTCCCGGCAAATTATCATAACTTATTTGAAGTTGACTTAAATTCAGGGGAGCTACAGTGAGGATAACGGCAACAGGTTAACAATCAACTGGAAAAATGTTATGTGTGAAGCCTGGATTAGAGTGAACTTGTCAGTATATCTTGTAAGATCAGCATTGCACACTAAAATAACCAGGATGGCCCACAAAAGGGTTTGGAGCGGGGGAAGCTAGAGGCCTGTTAATACAAATGGAAAAGTCCTAAACAAAATGTTAAATCTAATCCAGGTATCTACTAAAAAATAAAACATGGTGACCAAGTTGGGGATTATCCCAGGGATGCAAGGTTGCTTCAGTATTAGTACACGCTTAAAATTCTTCACATTGTAGGGGGAGGAGCCCATAATCCTAATAAAACAGCATCGATAAAATTTAACAGCTAAGCTAGGGAAAGAAGAAATTTTAACTTGATAAAAATCTATCTTCCTATGCCTAACATAACATGGTGACTCATTAATGGCGAAGCTTTAGAAACAGTTGTAAGGTCACAAACTAGAGAAGAATGGGCCACAATGACTTATTTCTGAGGTCTCAGCCTGGAGCAATCAAATCAAAGAAAGCTAATTATGGGAAGGAAAAAGAACTCATTTACATAAGAAAATCCCAAGAGCAAATAAAAACAAATTAAGTGGCCAGATTTTAAAATCACCCTAAATTAATTGCTTTTCTACCTATGAGCACAGACAAGTTTAAAATCAGTATGTGTTGGGGGTTGGTGAGAGCATCTGTGCTGAGAAGTAAGTGTTACACAAGAGATGTGGCAAAAATACTCTTAAAAGGTTCTGGGACATGGATCTCTTCCTGCCTTCCTCAGAGTTCTTTGTAAAAAACAGAAACTATCCCTGTCTACCATGAACAAAAATGGAATTCCCTGGGAGAACAGAATGGTCCCGAAGAAGCAGAAACCAGCACCGGGCATCCTCTCACTCGTGCTCATCGGCATTGTCTCCCCGTCCTGAGATGGTGAGATTGGCTTATGCAGCCGCTCCTTGGGAGGGCAAGATAGCTTGGGTGACAGTCTCTTGAGACGACACCATGGGCCAGCTAGCCCCTCACGAGAAATTACAATGTCGCCAGAGGAAAGAATTGATTCCAGTTAGCCAGAGCACCACACAACGTCCACTACGCATCCTTGGAGCCCTTGCAACTTTCTCTGTTCAGAAAACTGACCCCCGCTCACCCTTCTGCCTTTAAGATACTTGAGTTGACTTTTTGGTTTTAGCTAATTATTAGGTCATTAGGTCAACCAAGAACAGTAGGAATTGGTATATCCGAGCTCCCGGGGCCTCGGGGTGGGATAACTGTGAGGTGTGGGTTTGTTGAGTATTTACCAGAGCAGGTCCGTCAGCAGGGTCACAAGTGCCATCCACCTACAGTATAACTTTCTTGACAACACACCTGCTACCCGCTTTCTTCCCTTCCCTGTTGCTAGTTCCTTAGATCATCTTCCAAATGCAGTCCCTGCTCTCAAATTCTTGACTCGAGTCTGCTTCTAGGAGAACTCAAATGTTGGGGAGGGATGGAGTTATAAGGGGCAACAAAGGAAAATAACTGATTGTCAGAATTTCGGCAAACCAGTTTTAAATTCAAAGCTTAGCGTAAAAATGCCCCAAGGCCAGGTCTGAGCCTTATGTTTTCCCACCTTCCACTTCCAGGTGTGCCAGAGACCAAAAAAGAACTCGAATACAGCAATATACACAGACTGCCTTACAAGCTACTCCTCCGTAGATAAAATGTTAACCCAAAGTTTGCCAGGCATTGACAGCAGAGGGGCCCCAGCAATTTCAGGTTAAGCGTGTGAGTCAAACACAGCCGCTGAGCTCCTGGGTCTCTCTAGATCCCATGAAAAATGATAGTAAACTACAAAAGACATACTCTCACCCCAGTGAAGACAGTTACTAGTCAAGAATAGGTAAGGGGGGGCTGCCTGGGTGGCTCAGTGGGTTAAGCCTCTGCCTTCAGCTCAGGTCTTGATCTCAGGGTTCTGGGATCGAGTCACACATTGGGCTCTCTGCTAGGCAGGGAGCCTGCTTCCTCCTCTCTCTCTCTCTCTCTCTACTTGTGATCTCTCTCTCTCTGTCAAATAAATAAAATCTTAAAAAAAAAAAAAAAGAATAGGTAAGGGGAACGTGCCAAAGCAGGGCACAGAAAGAAACTTGAAATGAAAATATAAGTATGGCTAAGCCAGCTATTTCTAGAAATATGTTCCACAGATACATTCACACGTGTGTGAAATGATCTATATTAAAGGTATTACAATTTTAACCTATCAAAAGGCAGGGATAATCTAAATGTCCATGTTTCCAAGCCTGGCTATATAAATTACAGTTCAGTCATACAATGGACTGCTCTGAAGCAGTAGAAAAGAAGAAACTCTTTAAGATACAAAACCAAGACCAAGATAAAGTCTTGGTAAGTACAACATTTTGCACAGAACTAGAACAAA